ATGCACACACACGCGTGTGCACGCACACACTCGTACCACATGAGCCCTCACTTTTCTCGGCTTGCTCGTGCTTCTGCTCTCCCTGGCCCGGGCTGTTCATGTTGGTAGCCTGGAGCGGGTGTCTGATTTCCTGACTCATCCAGGCCTTGGGAAGTGCTTAGTGCTGAGGACTGGCTGGCAATAATTAACCTCCTTTCCTCTCTCGTGTGCTCAGAACCAACTGAGTCCTGTTCACTGGGACAGGTGGAGATCAAGATACCAGCTCTTTGGCTGGAGAACGTTGCTTACCGTGTTTCTTCAAATCTAAGATGCCATTGAGTGTAAGATGTATCACTAAGAAACATCACAGCCAATTAAATTGTGTTATGCCGTCTGGTTGGAAGACGCATCCCATTTTCAGAGACATTAAAATGTGTAAAATGTATCTCTTCGCTAAGTGAGATGTGGTGTACTGGGGGCAAAGTGCGTTTCCCATCATTTCCCTGCATTAGGCCCACCCAGACCCAGGCTGAGCCGGAGAGCCACGAGCCTCACCTGCAGGGGCGGGGCTACCCGACCAGCTTCCCGCGTGACCAGTGTGCACCCTTCTTGTAGGCAGGCAGAACTGCGGGAGAAGCCAGGTGGCACTGATTCAAGCAGGTCATTCCTTCTGTCCGCCGATCCCCTTAGGTAAATCCCTTCTTCCTCGTGGGGAGGAGTGAACCAGTGGGTTGAGATGTCAGCAGTGCTGCTCTGCTGAAGTCTGCCCCGGCGGAGGCATGCAACCAGGGCATGGAGGACCCCCACCGTTACGTCACACAGTGCCTGGCACACAGTAAGCCCTCACTAAATGTCATTATTAGCAAGACAGAGGCCCCAGGTAGACGTACAATATGCGGTTGGGGATCGAAATGAACGTCTCCGGGCAGCGAGGCCGCTGACCTGGTTTGACAAGGTGTTTGCTCATTCAGTGAACATGCACCTGGCATCTACAGGCGGCAGACGCTGGGAAGCTAAGACCCCACTGCCTGATGGGGGACTCAGTTGAGTAAGAAGTGTGAAAGGCACCCCAATAGGGATAAATCCTAGGTGTGGTGGGAGTCCAGCCGTAAGCCTTCTGCCTGACCCGGTCCCTGGGGCAGTGTGAGGAGGCCCCCAGGGAACACCAGGTGGTGCATTCACTGCCCTTATTAACCGGTGACTAAATTCTGGACTCAGCTCCTAACATCGCCCACATCACGCTGCTCAGGACGTGAGTAAAACTTACCATACAGCACATTCTCTTTAAATCTCTTTGTACCCTTTGCCATTTAAACTCAAGCGTCTGCCAGTATCTTGGAAAAACCCTGCTAGTCTCCTCAGGATGCGTCCCACCCCATCTTAGTGGCTGGGCTCCCTGGGGTCTTGGGGCAACAGAGAGAAGTCAGAAACCATTTCAGTTCATGGATGACCTGATGCCGCCTACCAGCATTTTGCAGGCAGATTATGGGTTTCTCAAACCTTGCCCCAAGGAATGTTTTGACCAAGACTGCTCATGTAAGTTTAAGAGAAAAACTAAAAAACCCAAACCAAATTTGTCTCCCCATTGGAAACACCTTACATCTCCCCCCAGTTAGGCTGCGTCTTCTCCCTTCTCCTCCCTCCACCACACTCATTCTTGACACTCAGCTGGGGCCCTGAGAGGAGAGTTGAGACAAGCAGGTTCACCAGCGTGACCTTTGCACCCGATCTGAAGGGGTGTATCCTTGGAGACTGTCATCTGTCTCCATCCTGATGGCTCTTGGCATGTTGGGACACACAGCACGTGCTGGTGGGCACTGGAAACTTGCAGATGGGGAGCTGGGCTCTTCCTGGCATCTTGGTGCCAAGGCTGTGTTATGTCCTCCACTATATCCATCATCTGAGGGTCAGAAAAGGCCAACTACATGGACCCTGATATCAACGAAGGAAGAGACGACGGCAAAGTGGAGAAGGGGAGACGTGCCAGTTACAGCTGGCAGGGGGGCCAGGAGGGGGCTCATTTAATAGGTGAGGCGATGCAGGCGGGGACGATAAAGGGCTGGGAAAACGCCTAATCCTGTCAAGGGAGAGGCACCTCAGCCAAAGCACACTGGATTCCAGGCTCCCAGTGGGTGGGGAGCTCAAGGTAGGCCTCGGTTCTGATGGAACTCTCTCACAGTGTCTCTCACGCCTTCCATTTCTGAAGCCACACGTATTATCTATTAAAATCTTCAGCACGTATGCATCATGGTGAATTTTAGAGATGAGTCAACAACGGTCAATGAGTAAAATTAGAAAAGGAAACACACTATCAGAGCTTGTGCACACGGAGACACGGAGACGTCCTTTGTTTTCCAGGGGAGGTAAGCCCTGCATAGCTATGCAAACTCATCGTCATTGGTGGACATGGTGATAGTAATTCCTGAACTAAAAGGTATGTCTGACGCCGTGAATAAACTGTGAATAAATGATGCTTAGGTGTGTCCTGTCACCCCCATCCCCACCCCCAAGAACTAGCTCTTCATGTGAATAAGGCTTCATAAGGCAATTCATTTGGAATTCTTTCAACAGGAAGCCCCAAGTAGGGCTTTTGGAAAGATCGGGGGGCCTGTAGGGCAAAGAATGAACCTACTGCTGATTGGAACTCAAGGGCTCTCTGAAACCGCCTCAAGGGCCTGGCGAAGGGGACTCCAGGCCCCATCCTCCCTTCAACCCAAAGCAGCTCTGCTTTTACTAGTTTTACTCAAGCAGAGGGTACTCAGTAAACTGCCCACAGGGACCAGGTAGGTAACAAGGGGAAGTCATTTAGTAGGGATTGCTTTCAATGGGAAGAGGATTCTCTAGGGGCCAAGGAAAACCGCTGTTAGGCTCCAGTTGACTGTGACCTGTGGCCACATCTTATTTTTTGGAGGCTGGCAATCATTTTTGTGAAATCTCGCAGTTTTTAAATTGTTAGCAATTAATTTGAAAAAGCAAACAAAATCCAAAGTGCAAGTATGTCTGTGGGCCCTTTCTGGTCTCTGAGCTGGCAGCAAGGTTTAAATTTTCTTTGCAACATCCCAGCCCCAGCCCTGACAGTTCCGCCCATGCTTTAAATCCTGGGATGGGGAACTCATCACCTTACAAGTCAGCCCCTCACATGGAATGAAGGACTGCTCTATCTTCGTCTCGTGACTGGCATTTATTAGGCCCCTGCCACATACTGCGCATTTCCTACAACTGGGTTCATTCAGGCAGGGGTGCAGACGGAGTGACGGAGGGCGAGGGGGGCTCTGGGTCAAGGATGTTGGATCCTGAGTGTTCCCTTGATGTCAGGCTCTTCTCCACACACCAGCCGATGAAGGAAAAGGGAGAGGCCTCACGTGTGGTGACTTCGTGACTTGAAATGAGTAACCTTTATTCCAAACGTCGTCACTGACCAAAGGGTCCTTCCCCATAAACTGTCACTGCCAGTGACCTGGCTAAAGAATGACCCGTTTGTCTTCTCTTCCACCATGAGTTCCATGTTGATCATGTTCAGTGTACAAAGAATTCTAGGAAGGCAGATCTGCCAGATCTTCCTGGAACTCTGGGAAGCGAGAAGCACGATCACGGACTCACCCCTGCCCCTGCTCTGTTCCTGGCCAATGAGGCTTGACTGCACAGTAAACTACAGATACCCTAGACTTTGTCCTCCCAGATGTGAATTTCTAGCTCATGGAGCGAAGGTGTTGGGGGAAAATTTCTAGGAGTAGGTTACCTATGCTTTGGATCTTGGGGTGAGGGCCCCCTCTTCAGATATGAGAGAGTCTGCCTGAAGTCAAGGTTTTCACATCTTCTGAGGGAAGTTGCCATTCAAAGACCCCACTCCAATCGCTTCAGCTCCAAAGCTGCCTCTAGTCCAGGCAGGACAGCTTGGAGGTGACAGGAAGGCTGAATATTGATTAAAAACAAATACAGCCAAAATTTATTGAAAACAGGTACCTTTCAGTAGCTCTGATTAGAATAAATCAGCTTATAGATACCATTACTCAGGAAAACAATATGTACAAAAGTCTTAGGAAAGGGAGGATAAAACAATGTGAAAAGAATACGTCTTGAACAGGACTGAATCACTAGAATGGTCATGTAGCAAAATAACACACAGTACAACCAAGAGTCACACGTGAGAGCACTGCGCGCCCTCGAGTGTGAGGTAGGACCTCTCAGTCCCATGGTCTGGGACCACATTGCATGATTCTTGGAGCAGAGGTGCTGGCTGGAGCACTGAGTGCTGCTCCAAATAACTAGTACGTGCTGAGGACAAATGGAATGGAATGAGGCCACCAGTCAAGTTATATCTGCGCCCTCCCACTCCCTCAATAAACCCCACGAAAGAGAAGTGCTCTCTGCAAAGTCCATAGACCTGGCAGGGACCAGTGGACCACGGAAAGCTTAGAGATGGTTCCTCTGCAGTTAATCACATAAAAACCCTAGACTAAGCTAAGCCCTATAGTTCCATTATCCAAATTCCCACTAACCAGAGAGGTAGAGGAACAAGACATGGAAGCTGCCTCTAAACTAATTTTTGGTCGTCAGTAAACAGGAATAAATACAAAACACTGTTCCACAAGTCAGCTTGAAAAAAATGATTGGGCATAGCAGGTGTAAGATTCCAAAGCCCCATTTAGTACCCACCACAGGAGAAAGAGGGGATGGGCGTGGGAGGGAGAGAGCTGTTCTGCTGTGGTCACTGCCGCGACACGTCCTGTTCTGCTGTCCTGGCCCCATGTGTACAGTTCCTCTCAGCTTTCTGGATCTGCTCTCTCATGGCCAAGAGCTCTCACTTCTGAGTCTAAACCTCCCAGCCTCAGGCAGACACAGAGCGGAAATGCCAGGTGCAGAGGGTTCTCTGGTGAGGGTGAGGAGGCGGTCTTCCTGAGAACACGAGCTGCTTTCACACCACCCCCACTGGAGTTAGGGCAGGGCAAAGAGGAGGCTGAGTTACAGGAGGCAGAAGGAGGCAGCTGTGAGAGCAGGAAGGAGAATTCAGCCGGGAGAATGACAGGAAGTTCTGACTGCATGGACGCAGCAGGCAGTGTCTTTGTCACCTGGGTTGGGAAGCGTGAATAACATGGCTTTCTCTAACTGATGGGGGAACAGTGTGTCTCCTCGCTTCCCAAATTCTCCAAGAGGGACACCACTCCCTGCTCTGGAACTTCACACTCAAACAAACAATAAGGCTGAAGGGAAGAGGTCTCTTCAGGGTCCCAGAAGTGCCCATTGAAGGTCCATCCTGTCAAGTTTAGCTTCTTGGAAGAGCAGCCTCACTTGTGAGTCCGTATGCTGCTGCAGATTTGGGCAAGACGGCTCTAAAAAGAAAAGGAGACAGGTCATTTAGAGAAGATGACACTGAGCACACTGCTCAGTGAGCCACTTACTAGTCTACTCAGGTAGCACTGGATTTGGGGTCACGCAGGTCTGAGTGAATCTCAGCCCTCCATTCTCTGCACCACTAACGATGTTTCGGTCAATCACAGACCATATATATGATAGCCGTCCCATAAGATTAAGATTAGATTAGTACCATACAGCCCAGGTGTGTAGTAGGCTATACCATCTAGGTTTGTGGAAGTACATTCTATGATATTCGCATAACAATGAAATAGACTAACAACGCATTTTTCAGAACATATCCTCGTGGTTAAGCGACGTGTGACTATACTTGTATCACAAACTAATTAATTAACCTTTCTGAATCTCCATTTCTCATCTGAACAAAGGAGTAAAATAACATCTCAAATGAGACATGAAGGTATAATTTGGGAACAGTAATGCTTAGGTCCAACTAGACGATGAGTATCACCAGATTTGGGTGGCTAGGTGTATGTGTGACCTTGGCACTGGGCCTATGTTCAGCCAGATGTGTTTGGGAAAGCAGCTCCATCCTTGTCCCGTTCCTTAGTTGTAGCCTTCACAGACCCCCCGGAAGGGTGGGCCTAGGGCAGCCATGTTTGCACTAAGTGCTCCCATCTACCACTCCAAGACCATGCTGACTGGACCAGGGAGGCCCATCTGAGCCAAGTAAATTCTTCCTCTTGAGAATTTAAACAAAGACAAGAAACTGGACGGTCAGTGTTGGACACTGGCGCAATCAGGTTCGAGTTGGAAATGTGGCTGCCCAAAGCCACACACAAACCAATGTCATGAGAGTGCAGGACCAAGAGCCTTGTGAAGGTTATCTGCGGAGAGGGAGGGAGAAAGGAAGAAGTCCAAGGGAAATGAGTGCACAGGCCCCAAGACAGAGAGATGCTGAAGGAGCTGGCGCACCACAGTGGAGCTCCACAAACTCCTGTCGCTGATGGTCCCGCCACCCTGGGGGCCTGGCTGTTAGCACTTTCTTTGATTCTATGGGAGTCCTTGTAACAAGCCCCTCCCCCATTCCCAAACTACTGTGAGGAAGCTTCAGTTCCTGGCAGTCAGTCGTGCCCTGACACACTGGTACCCACTGCCTGAATGAGGCAGAATTGGATTCTGTTGTGGAACTTCTGTGGCACACACTCTGGGACGGACTGAAACTCAACATCAATTTAGGAACAGAATTGCTGCTAGGTAAACAGGATAACAGTCAAATCCTTTGGGGGAAAGAAGGCAACACAACTGTAAGTATAAAGCATGAGCCCAGACCCAAAAGATAATCCTACGTACAGCTAAGCCAAGAAAGCTATTGGAGGCGCCCTGAGTGTGGAGATGAATACGAGACTTACGGAGAGCTTCTTAATGTTTCCCAAGGCCTCTGGGTCCAGTTGTGCGATATCGACCTTCTGCAAGTCACTGGCCAATAATCGCATGCTCTGTGTGGAGGGGAGAGTGGGTTAAATTGGCATGGCCCTTAGGGCAGGAACCTCCATCCAGCACCCCAGTGTGCCCCAAGCGTCCTCCTGATATCCTGCACTTGGTAGGGGAAGTGGCAAGGCAAGTAGGAGGGTGTTAGCCCTAAGGAGACAATGACATCAGTGCTTACTATTGGACCAGTGGCTGGATCACCTGGGGAACAAGGGGCGTGTACCTTAGCTTAGAAATGCCCTGCAGACCACATCCGGGATAAACCATCCTTCCTTCCCCAGGGCTGAGGTCAGCAACGTGCTCTACTCAGCCCAGAGAACCTGGGCTCAGCTGGCTTCAGAACCCCTCCAAGTTATACAAAGTGGAAGACACAGCTCACGCTCCCCCTTCTAGACTAAGCACACAGTGCCCTCCTCTGCACTCTCTTTAATATCTCTATTACTGCACACATCACATGATATTATAGTTCATCGTGAACCTCTCTTGAGTACCAAATTACTTCTCAAGAGCAGGAACCATGTCTTCTACAGCTGGGACCTCCTACAAGATGAGTGGGCAAAAGTCAGCTGATGAACAAATGGAACCCAGACCTGGGCAAGGATGTTCCCAGTCTGGGCCTCTAACCTGGGAGAGGACTGGGTTCTGAGTCCTACAGAAGTGTGGAAAACAGGATCCAAAACCAAAAGGACTTTTGGGGAGAGAAGTGAGTAATGCACCAGGGAAAGGAAACGCTGACTGAGCAGCACACTGTGGCCTGGCTTCCCCCTGAAACACTCACCTCTCCGCCTCCCACTGGCACAGTGAGGAAGATCTCTTTGCTGTCGGCAAGAGGGCTACCATTCACCGAGATATTGTAAATCCGCTCTCTGGCTGCTGGAGTACGTAGGCCTGGGGTCTTGAAGACCCTATAAAGTGGGAAAATCTTTGTAAAGATGGCTTGGCAGACTGGATGACACCAGGCGCTATGAGTCCTTCCAACCCCCATCTGGCCTCAAGCTGCAGTTTTCAAACCACACATTTCTAAGAAGGCATGTTCTAAATTTAGGGGAAAAAAAATTTAAGCAGTAATGACTAAACACAGCTGGAGAAAGGAGGTTGTAATTATCAAACACACATCAAGCAAGAGTCAATTCTTATCCATGTAAATTTTAGGTCCAAAGCTCCATATGGATGCCAGTCATCCATCCATCCACCCATCCATCCATCCACCATCCATCCTTCCCACCATCCACAAAGCCAGAAATAAACTATGGTTAATGTATTTCCAAGAGTGGCTAAGTGGTTCCATCAAGAGGAATTTTCCAGGGTCACAGGAGGATGATTCAGAGATTACATCATTATATTAATTCCCAAACTTTCTCAAGACAGTTAAAATGCTGCTACCTACTTTCTCCAAATGTTCTTTGCTATATGCTCATGTGAAAAAACAGTTAAAGAGGAGTGAGATTTAAAAGTAGAAGGTAAGGGCCGGCCCCGTGGCTTATCGGTTAAGTGCGTGCACTCTGCTACTGGCGGCCCGGGTTCGGATCCCGGGCGCGCACCGACGCACCACTTCTCCGGCCATGCTGAGGCCACGTCCCACATACAGCAACTAGAAGGAGGTGCAACTATGACATACAACTATCTACTGGGGCTTTGGGGTGGGGGGCGGGAAGGAGGAGGATTGGCAATAGATGTTAGCTCAGAGCTGGTCTTCCTCAGCAAAAAGAGGGGGATTCGCATGGATGTTAGCTCAGGGCTGATCTTCCTCACACACAAAAATAAATAAATAAAAAATAAAAGTAGAAGGTAAGTCTTCCTCACTCTCCCATCCCACAGATAATCACTCTCAATTCTTTATGCATCCTTCCAGAAACTTTCTGTGTATAAAAGCAAGTGGGATCATCTAGTGCACACTGCTCTGCAACCTGGTTGGAGATGCTCGTGATCGTGAAGCTCTTCCCGTCAGCACACACAGAGCCCTTCTGTTTAAATGGCTACAAAGCATTCCCTATTGAGGTGACCCGCCCTACAGAAGGGATTAATTTATGCTGCGAGAACATCCTTGTTAATGCTGGTCTCCCAAAAGGCGGTGTCAATTTTCACTTCTACCAAGGGTACAGGAGAGTATCTACCCTTTTAAAAAAAACTTCTGATCAGAATCAGAAAAGACCAAAAGCATCACTAGAGGCCTCCTAGTCATCAGACAATGCCCTCCCCCCTCTCCTCAGATGAAGAGTCATTTTGTTGCTGTAAACAGGTGAGCCTGCACTCAGAGAGGCAAACGCTGGGAAGCCCAGACGGGTCCCCTCCTCTGAGAAGGTTCTAGGCCAAGGAGTCAGGAGGATTTGCTTAAACACCCTTCTCTGACTGATGTCAAATGTTGGGCTCCCAAAAAATCACTGCGCTTGGTACTCACCTGGAGTCAAACCTGGGCGTCAAGCCTGGAGTAGGTTTCACCAGAGATAACTCCAGTCGGCCCACAGCTGGGGTAACAGTGTTATAATGGCTCGACCTATAGGTAAGAAACAGCCATTAGGTGCGCCAACTCGCAGGTCCAATGACCGCAGCAGCAGAGGCAGGTAACACCTGGAGAGTACTGACCATGTCAGATACTGTCCTGATGCCCTCCACACATGAACTTGTGTAACCCTCCAAACAACCCCATGAGAAGCACCACGATTATCTTCACTCACAGATGCAGAGACTCAGGCATATTGAGTTTAAATAACTTGCCTGGGATCACATAGCCAATTAGGGCAGAGCCAGGACTTTGAACCCAAGCAGCCAGCCTCCAGAATTCTCCAGAATCCAGCTAACAGAACGAAAGGAAGGAGCCAGCCTCTCAACACTCTGCAGGGCCCCAGCTGGAGTCACCACTGCTCAGGGAGGAATGAGAGGAGTCCACTCCTTCACAGCCACATATCCCAGTGACCACTTTCCTAGGCTTGTTGGAGATGCAGCCCCCACCCTCAAATGGTCAGTAGGGTCCAGCAGAATCAGTTCAAGCCCATGGTGATTCTCTGCTTTGCAGGACCAGGAGGTACATCTCAAGAAACTAACTATAGGTAGGTGACAGCCACTTTGAGACTGACTATGGGGTAGCTCTGCAAGTGGACCGTCAGAAAACTAAAGAAAATATGCATTGCTTTCTATATTTCTGGGCCTCATTCTGTTAGCATTGAAAAAAAAAGTGGGAGAGGATAGAGAAGATGGGCAGAAGAGTTGGAGAAGGTGTTGGGTCAGATCATCCCTCGAGGCCCCTCCAGCTTGGCTACTTAAGGCCTCGATGACTAAGTTCTACTTGCACACGAGCCACAACAGCCCTTTCACCCCCTATTCTGCCACGATGATGTGGCTCTCCAATAAAACCAAACACACGTCTAAAACCGAAAACCTGGTACCTTTTGCTTTTGCCTTTTCCTTGTACGGACTGGGTTCTCTTCTTGGATGGAGGACACCTTTTGACCTAAAGTCACGATCACATGAAACTGAGGTTACAAAACGCCCCACAAAGGGGAAAGGTGAGCGAGGGTAAGAAAAGTAGAGGAGAGGGGCCAGCTCTGGGAAAGAAAACAAACAGTGAACACTGAAGGTCTGCTCACGGAAGTCAGAACATAACTGATCAACTAAGGACTTGCACTGGCTGGGTCTTCAAACAGAGGGTCTTGGCCAAGATTCAAGGTAAATCTCTTTTGAACTGACTGCAGCCTGGATCGTCCACCCGCACCCCGCGCCCCCCATAAAGTGCTGCTGGAAGGTCACTAAGGGCACCCCAGGCGCCCAATCCAAGGAACCCTCAGCAGTCCTCACGCCTCCTGAGTCCTCGAGGGTACCCAACAAGAGTCACTCCTCACCCTCTGACAATTCTCTCCTCGTCTTCCAAGATGGACCCACCTTCCTACTTCTCTGGCCGTCCCTCTGCAGTCTGCTCCTCTCTGCATGAGCTCTGCACGAGCTCCTCTCTCTACTTCCCTCCTAGTGCCCACCCTCAGCCTCCCTCTCTGTGCTCTCCCTGCACAACCTGCCGCCCACGCTGGGACAACCACCTAAAGACCTGGGAGTCAGAGTATCTCGCAATCTCCTCCTCCTCCCTGAGCTCCACGCTAAAATTTCTGTCTAGATTAGACGTCCTGGAAAAGTATTAAACACTCCACCTGTCAAAAAACTGACATATGAACTGCTCTCCTTCACCCGAATCGAGCCCCACTCTTCCTCCTGTGTCCCACGCTCCACGGGATGGCAGTTGTCTAAGCCGGAAACCATTTAGTCATCTCTGGTTTTCTCCTTTCCTCCACCAATCTTGTCCATTCTCCCTTTTAAAACTTCTCTCAAAACCACCCCTTCTCCTTTTATAGGGTCAGTGCCTCAGTTCAAGAATTACAACAGTCTCCCAACTGCTTTGTCCCGTTTTCCCCTCTCCCACTTATCCTGAAGACAGCTGGCCCTCCATCTCCACGGGTTCCACAATGCGAGTATGGAGGGCCAAGGGACTTGAGCATCCTCGGATTTCAGTATCCATGGGGGTCCTGGAACCAATCCACCACAGATACTGAGGGAAGGCTGTACTGTTCTGAAATACCCATCTGGTCATGTCACTTACCATTACCAATCCGATGAAATCAAAATGGCCAAGCTTGGCACACAAGGCCATTCATGATCTAGCCCCAACTCTACCCAGCTTAGCCTCACAGCTCATATCCCAGCCATACCAAACTGCTTCTTGTTCCTTAACTGGACACTCTCACACCTCCTCCGGGAACTCTCTCCCCTTTCTTCTCCAGTAGTGAAACCTCACTCACCTTGAAAGGCCTGGTTGTGTCTAATCGGGTAGGTAAGACTCAGCTTCCTCTTCTATGTTCTGTGCACTTTGCACACACTTCTATTATCACTCTGGTTATCAGTAATTTAAGTGGGATCTTCTCTACTAAACCGTGAACTTTGGGAGGGCAACACTGTATTTTCTGTATTTTTGTATTTCCTTGTTTCCTGTCAGGCCCCAGCCCTGAACCGGAGTGCCTACTTACTCTTGCAGTTTGAAGATTCTTATTTTTATTTTCTTCCTCTTCTTCTTCCACTATCATTTCATCCACTTGTATTACCTTCCGTGCTATAAGAAACAGTTTTAACAGCATGACATTTCTCGCGGGAATAAGCTTTCACACATTCACATTTCTTACAGGAAATAAAACTTATGCAGTCTTAGGCTGTATGCAAGAAACAGACCCAATGTAAAGAAGATGACTTTTGTAAAAAGGAGGTATAGACAAAGGAAACTAATCAGAGTGGTTAAGCCGCCCCATGATGCCTTGTGTGGGCAGCCCAGCCTCCTGACAAGAGTGACTCTAGGGTCAGACAGACTTGAGCTTGAGGCCCGGCCCTACCACTAACCAGGTCACAAGACTTTCATCGTGGTGCCTCAGTTTCCTCATCTATAAAGGGGAGGAGTCACTTTATAGGGATATTGTGAGATTTGAAATGTGTGCTGCCCAAGAACAGGCTCTTCGTTGTTTCTATTCCTGTATCCCCAACCCTAGAACCGTGCTTGTGTTAATTAACTATGTGTGGAATGAATGAATGTAAAGCCCTTTGGACAGTACTGGACACGTGTTATAATAAGTATTATTATTTATTCTAATAAAATATTATTTATGTCGATAGCACAAAGAAACTTAGAAAGAACTTTCTTACCATCACAGCTGTGTTTAGTGACGAAAGGTAGAGTGTCTCATTGCTAAATATGTACAGCCAGGAGCTACACACCCTGAGCAGAGACTCCGTAGGGAAAATTCATGCATTTAATCGTGGAGGGAAAAATCAGACTAAACGAGCTTTAAGCTTTTTTTTTTCTGATACATTAAATAAGAATATAAGTTTATTTACCTTTTAAAAAAAAAAAAGTAGCTTACAATGTAGTTGAAGTTCAGTGATCAAAAGGGCACAAAAACAATTTCTACCACTGGTTGACACTGGTCCTGGGGTGTTCAGTTCTCAGGGGTGAAATCAGAACCTCCCTCTCCCCAACCAAGTAAGCAAAACTGATGGAACTCAGAAGAGAAACTGATATTACCTAAATGTAGAAATAATGCAAAGTGACCCAACACATTGTAAACACGTGGCTGAGGAACTCTAGGAACACCCAAGTCCAGTTACGTCATAACCTCAGGGAGGCAGGACTGGAATGTGACACTAAGACAGTGAAAATCTCATCATGCTTTCTTCACGCTACTAGGCAATTGTGATGGAAGGCAAGTTGGAACAACAACTTGACAGTGTTTCTGGCCCTGCCCAGTGGAGAAGGTGCCCTAGTGGGCAGGCCGGAAATCCAGGCCTTGGGTCAGAGTTGGATACATCGAGCTACCAAAGCTTAATGACAGTGACATCAAGTCCACAACAGAGCTCATCCTGGCCTGATTCCATGCTAATTACAACCCGGCTTCCCAGAAACTTTCCTGTAAGTCAGAGTTTGTCAGAGTGTGGGGCGCACATGTGAAAGGATTTTACACAGAGGGGTCACTGAATCAAGTGACATGGAATGACGTGCTGAGAAAGCCACCCCTTCTGATCACATCAGGGAGCATCCCGGCTGACATGACCATGTCCTGTCACACCTCTCTAAGTCTTGTATCCTCTCTAACTCAGGGGAGTTGAGCAGGCGACAGCGTTTGGTTTCCAGCACATCTTTTATTCCCTTCCATTCACTCTCACTTTCGCTAACACATCGGTCTTGAGAGTTTGGTTAGTTTCAGTCCTGCATACAATTAACTGAATGCAGCGGCCAAAATTAAATTTTTGGATTTACAAGACTGGACCAGACATTAGAACGAAAAGCCTCCACCAATGAGGCCTCCCAAGGCAGCTGGCCTACCACTCTGGGCCTCGGCTCTCTCAGCTCGACAAGGAGTTGTGAAAGGTACTCACTTTTGGCAGATTTCAGGGGTGTCTGAATAGCTTCTGCTGTTAGTTTGTTTATTTCTGTGATATCCAGGTCAGCCTGTGACAAACATAGCAGAAAACACCAGGCAGATTCCATCAAATATGAGGAACAATATTTTAAGGTTAAAAACATATTATTTGATACATACAAAAGGTTGTTACATTTTAGTTATAACATAGTAAAATGAACTACCATAAACCCACATACAACCCAAGACCTAAAACAGTGCCAATAACTTGCCTCCATGTACTTTTCCCTGTTCTATTTCCTTGTCTCTCCCCCAAAGGTGACCAGTCTCCTAACTCTGTCATTCCCCAGAGACAACCACTATTATTCCACTTGCTTAAAAGAAAATGTGTGTGTGTGTGAGTGTGTGTGTATGGTGTGTGTGTGTGTGTGTATATATCTATATATATTTCTTCACAAACTATGTGTGCTTACACAATATTTTGTTTGGTTTTGTTTCTGACCACTATTTGTGGTTGTAGTCAGTTTGTCTCCACTGCTATATAATATCCTACTGTGTGACTATATCCCATGGATTTGTCCAATCTCCCGTCAACTGTCTCTTGCTGTTACAAACACTGCTACTTTAAACTGTCCTACACTCGTGTCTGCTGTGCATGTCCAAGTTATCTCTTGGCTCTATACTTAGGGATAGAGCATTACAGCGTTTTAGGGTGCACAAACATCAGCCTTGATGTTATGCCTCATTGGTTTCCAAAGTGGTTGCACTTGTTTCCAGCCCATGGGCAAACAATACAAGTTCCTAATGACCCACATTCTCTACGACAGTTGGTGCTGCGTCAGACTTCTCATCTTCGTTCTTTTTTTTTTGGTGACGAAGATCAGCCCTGAGTTAACATCCGATGCCAATCCTCCTCTTTTTGCTGAGGAAGATTGGCCCTGGGCTACCATCGTGCCCATCTTCCTCTACTTTATATGGGACGCCGCCACAGCATGGCCTGACAAGTAGTGCATAGGTGCACACCCGGGATCCAAACCTGCGGACCCTCGGGCCGCTGCAGCAGAGCACACACACTTAACCGCTATGCCACTGGGCCAACCCCCCTCATTTCTTTCTTTATTCTTTTTTTGGTGAGGAAGACTGGCCCCAAGCTAACATCTGTGCCAATCTTCCTCTATTTTGTATGTGGGAGGCCGCCACAGCATGGCTTGATGAGCTGTGTGTAGGTCCACGCCTGGGATCCAAACCCGCAAACCCCAGGCCACTGAAGCAGAGCACGCAAACTTAACCACTAGGCCAACGGGCTGGCCCCTCATTTTCTTTTTTTAAGTCTAGAGGGTCAATAAAGTTTTCTATTGTGCTCCTGGGTCCTTCAAAAAGGCTTCCAGTTGCCATTCTAATTAAATTTGTTCCCAGTGGTGACACCTATACGTATGGGAATAGCCAAGGGCAGTCATGATTCGTAGGCCTTTCCTCATAGGGCACAAGAGAGTTGTTACAGACTAGGAATGACCCAGGTTTTATCTCTAGATTGGTAGAGACTACATGAAGTGCTCAGAGAAGGATTCTGAGGCTGTCCAAGCTTAGTAAGAAACAGTGTTGCAATAGATTAGTGATGTCTGAAGTGGCTGATGGAATGGAATGTGGTGGCCAACTTTCTGCCATCTCTAGAAACAACTGGCATGTTTATGAAGGTATCACCGGTGGCAGGCCACTGACCACCCACTGTGCAGAAGAGTTAACAGGCCTGAGACTGACATCCGTAGAAAGGCCTGTTTACATGGCTGGCCCATGGCTGGCATGAGAACTTGCATTTCAGGGTTCCCACCATTCCCTCAGGAGAATGGCTCACTGTGCCTAAGCTTTGTACAAACAACATGGTTTATGCTGAACACCTGCGTTCCTTCTGCAAATCTGGAATTTTCGTATATGCTAGGCAGAAGATGCCTATGTGACCAGCCCCCAACAAAAACCCTGGGCATTGAGTATCTAATGAGCTTCTCTGGTAGACAATTTTTCACACCTGTTGAATTAAGCGTGTCCTGTGCGACTCCACTGGGAGAGGACTCTTGGGAGCCTGAGACTGGTCTCCTGAACTTTGCCCCACCCACCTTCCCCTTTGCTGATTTGCTTTGTATCCTTTCACTGTAATAAATCATAGCCATGAGTATGACTATACGCTGAGCCCTGGGAGTCCTCCTAGCCAATTACCAATCCTGGAGGGAGTCTTGGAAGCCCCCATATACTTAACAACTAAGAGCTTTTATACCAAAGTATCATTCCTTCCCCAAGTTTTAAATCACATTATCTAACGCTAGAATTCTCTCCACCTGGTGTGATGACACTGGATGTCTCACACTACATTAGAAGCTCTGATCTGTGGTTCTATATGTCTGATTAGTTAAAAAAGAGGGTGGTGCATTAGCTATGATTCATCTCAGAGGTAAGTCTTCCAAAACATTAGATCTGGGTGTGGATGGGGAGACATATTAAAGAAAGACAAAGCAGGGACTAAGAACCTTTTACTAGCTGTTGATTTTATTTCTCAGTTACTGCCCCTCTCTCTCCTACAAGATTCACCCCCAAGCTCTCTAATTTTTTCCTGATTCAACAACTGGCTCCTAAGTACCTTTAACTTCTGACGCTGGTTGGAGATCTGCTATTCAGTGCTACTATGTACCCTTTGTAGTTAGATTGCTTCAAACTCTGCGATTCCAAATGATTCTGATCAACTCATAGAAGGTGTAGAGTCTGGATGGATGTAGAGTCTACAGTTTCATCTGTAAATCTGATGAAGGCCATAATAAACTTTCTCCCCAGAAAGATACACAAATACATGTAAACACACACGTTGTTCATGTGTGATTTTAGAGAGTTTAGGGTCTCTGTGAAACCCATTTATGGACTAGTTCCCAACACTGTCCAATAGAACTTTCTGCAAGGGTAGAAATGCTCTATTTCTGAGCTGTCCAATATGGTAGCCACTAGTCACACGTGGCTACTGAACATTTGAAATGTAGCTAATGTGTCTGAGGAACTTAACTTTTAATTTTATTACTTTTAATTAATTTAAACAGCTACATGTAGCTGGTGGCTATTGTAATGGACAGTACAGATCTAAACGTGTTATTTTGCTTCCCCATCTTCCTGCCTTCAGTCCTGGTGCTGATGCTGGGAGGAAGGAAGTGAGAGGGGGTGGGGAATCCCGAGAGACTCAAGCAAGAGTACAGCTTCTATGGTATTGACACGATAAAGCAACAGTCTCTTTGTCACCTAGCAGGCCAAGTCACTGTGTAATGACCTAGGGGCTTAAAGGAACTTGAATTTGAGGCTTTCTACTTCCCCTGCAGAGGTCAGGGCAAAGAGCTGCAAAGAACCTGCCAAAAATAGAACTGCCTCTCTTCACAGGGCTCGAAACTATTTGGTCTTCATGTACTCAGCATTTGATGACTCTAATTTTTCAGCTGACACAGATAGTGTCCCCTGTGGAACCTCTTCCACAGTAAGCACCCACTGGTTGGATTTTGTGACCAGACTAAACTTAAAAACTAACCAACAGTTCAAAAATAAGACAAGTCACTTACTGTTGCTGCCTCTTCCAGGGCCTGCTTGTTTCCTCCAAGAGCTTTAAAAAGAACATTTTGTTTAGTTACTATCAGATCTTAATGACAAATCATCTTCCCTAATACAACCAGTTATCTTTCTAAAACTGGACCAGATTAAGCCCTTGGTCCAACATTCAAGGACCTTCACAATCTAGTCTAATCTTCCTCCAAGCTTGACTCATCCCCTCCACGACCTATCCTGTGTTCCACCACACCAAAGTTCCTGTTATTTCCCAAATGTGCCACCAACTCTCATGACTCAGAGCCCTGGTACTTATGATGTCCTCTGCACCCGACAAACTTCTAATTCATCCTTCAAACTCAGCCCAGACCCCAAACTCTGCCCATTTTGCTATCACAGCAGATTGCTACGTGTTGAGTTAGCTGCTCACTCTCGTCATACCCAACAACTACTCAAAGTTGTTTAAGTGTCCACCCCTGCCCTGAACTGAATTCTTTGAGGACAGAGATAATATCCATAGCTTCTGGCAAAAATATGTCATACAGTAGCTATGTGGTAAATGTGTGTTGAATGAAAGGGTCTCTGCAAGATTTAGATGTAGAACAAAAAGTGAGGTTAGGTCCTCCTGCTAGAAATACTCCTAGTATCCTATAATCGTTAAAAACTCAGGCTTCAAAACCAGAATGCCTGGGTTCAGACAGACTGCCCCCAACTGGTTTATGAGACCTTGAGCAAAGTAACCAATCTCTCTGCACCTTAACCTTGTCATCTATAAAATAGGGACAATATTAATAATGAATATGGTCATTATGAGGACAAAATTAGTTAATATATGCAAAACACTTGGTACAATGCCTGTCTGGCATAGGAAACACTACACAAATGTGCTTACTGACTAATTTTCATTATATAACCTTGTGTGAATTTTTTAAATGATCCTTCTCTACTAACTTGCAAGTTCCTAAGAGTAGGGACAATGTCTGTTTTATTCCTCAGGGCATCTTCAGCATCCAGCCTTGTTACTGACACACACGCTCAATGAATATTTGTAGAAATGTGTAAACAAGATTACTAAATAAAACAGCGAGTCAAAAGGATCATTAAATGTCTACTATTTGAGCAGAACAGGCATTTCTACCCAGGAAAGAGGCTACATGCTGTGTAATTAACAATAAGCAAAACAGAAAAAGGGTAATCCAGCAGAAAGGACAGCCTCTTGCATTTCCTTGGACATTTAACAAGGGGGTGGGGAACAGGCTGGGGTTTTTCTCTGGCCAGGAAAACTCTCGGGTCCTTGCACTTCACAATTCGATTTGCCCATTTTTAAATTGGCAATTTCCATAAGATGCAGAAAGCACTGCTTGGGGTTATCCTTCCACCCGAACTCTGGTAGCACATCAAGTTACTCATTCATTCGTTTTTAAATAGTTGGATAAAATATGTATATTAAAAAAGGGGAGGTGGGGGTGCTGCAGTTTCCTATTGTGATCATGGAAGACCTCACTGGTCACGATAACCACAGAGGGGCTCCAGGCCGAGGTCTGGGCACACTCCAGCAGCTCTTACCGAAGTAGTCGAGCCAGTTCATCTCGCGCAGCGCCTTGGGCAGCCGCAGGATCTCGATGTTGTACAGGTTATCCAACTCCTTGAGGAGGTTCTGCCTGTCTGACTGAATTTGCTTGGATCGTATTTGCACTGCGAGAGGGCAGAGCCGACAGGACACGGGTCACCGAGCGGGTCAATGGGGCCTCGAATCCGTGCTGCCTGCGCCCCAACCCGCCAGCGCCCCGCGATCGCCCCCGGTAGCCGCGACGACCAGGGGTCCGCCCCTCACCTTCACGGTCGAAGTCCTTAAGAAAGGAGGCGAGCTTCCGGCTTCGTAGCGAGTTAGTCTTGGCTACCCGATTGCTGCCCTTCCTAGACGGAGCCATGGCGCTTCGGTGGAGGCTGCGGGGAGCGGGGAACAGAGCTAGAAGGGTTCAGCGGCGGAGATGGGGGAGGGAAAGGGGTCGCGAAGGGGCGGGAGAGGGCGGACGGGCGCCCTAGGGGGCTAGAAGGGGGACCCCTGCCCTTAGGAGCCAGGACTTAAAAGGCACATACCTGCAGGTCGAGAAACAAGGGCTGAAAAACCTCGCCGCTCCAGCTGAGAGGGAGCGGCTCCGCGGCCAACCGGACGTGCGACCGCCGCCACCAAATTCAAACTGCCACAGGCTGACCAATGAGAAGTCGCCGTCTTGGGAGGGTTCCACAACATCCAATCACAAGGAAGCTCTGTGCTCAGGCAGCCAGTCCACGCGTAGGACTACAGCACCCAGAAGGCATTGCGGCTTGACGACATATTTTCGCGACTCAGTAGCCGCGTTGGGGCATGCGTAGAGAAGCTGCGGGCGCAAGGTGGTGGCTTTACCGGGTTGTCCGGCTCTGCCTTGTTTCAAGTGTTCTCGCAGGTTTAGGGACAACGACTGGCAGTCTCAAGGAGAGAAGACAGCATTCCGGCTCTGGAAGCACGGGTCCGGCGTGGGAGACCGGGCTTCGGTCCCGGGAATCCGCAGTCTAAATCAGGAGACTGCCCTATCCAGGGACGAGCCTCCTCCGTGGGAGAGTCAGGAAACCGTTCCCGAGGTGGGAAACAAGGATCTGCCTCCCGAGAGCCCCTCTAGAGGTAAGACAAGGCCTCGCGCCGGGAGCTCCTGTCGGAAAGGATAGACAGCCCGCCTTACCTGCCAAGATAGAAACCCTGGTGTAGATGGACCTCGCCCGAGAACGGAAATAACTCCCACCCTTGACCCGGTACTTCCCCTACCGACTGGGGATCCTAATGCTGTTGTTTTCTTTCTGGCTTCTTTTTTTCTCCCAACAGAAGATGACTCAAGACCAGCCTTTGCTTGCTGTGCAGGAGGCCCTGAGGAAGTGCTTTCCCGTGGTGGGGGAGCAGCAGGGCCTGTGGCAGAGCACCCTACGGGACTGCCAGTCCCTCCTGGCTTCCCTCAGCAACTTGGCCGAGCAGCTGCAGGCGGCTGAGAACCTGCGATTCGAGGATGTGCCGTCACTTCGAGCCTTCCCAGATTTAAAGGAGCGGCTCAGACGCAAGCAGCTGGCGGCTGGTGACACTGTCATGGACAAGCTAGGGGAGAGGCTGTAAGAGGCTCGATGGCGCTCTTTCTTGGAGGGTGTTTTATAAGTAGCTCGGATCGGTCAGAAGGGTGTTTTTCTTCTTGAGAGCGTGGTATTTGGGGGTGTCTCATCCTTTCCATCTGTTGCTTTGAGACCTCTGTCAAAAAGCCATTTTCTGGCATTTCCCTTTTCAGGCTGGGCATGGCAGTGGTGGACTTAGTAGAAGTTACAAAAGCGGAACAGAAAAGCAATGAAGAAGGCTTATTAACCCTTCTCTATAGTTTTCTTTGGTAAAAAGCAGTGAGGAGGGGCTGGCCTGGTGGCATAGTGGTTAAGTTCAGCGCACTCTGCTGTGGCAGCCCAGGTTTGGGGTTCGTGGGTTCAGATCCCAGGTATGGACCTATACCACTCATCAAGCCAGGCTGTGGCAGCGACCCACATACAAAGTAGAGGAAGATTGGCACAGATGTTGGCTCAGGGCCAATCTTCCTCACCAGTGCCCCTCCTCCAAAAAAAAAGAGCAGTGAGAACTATACTGGAAACAGTAGGTGCCAGAGCTAACGGTTTTATAAGCATTATCTCATAAAATCTTTTCGGCACCTGTGTGACTTAACTTCACTTAATACTGTTTTGCAGGCGAGGAAAAAGGCTCAGGCAGATTGCCTGTGGTCGCACAGCTAGTAAATAGTAAAGCTGGGACTCCAACCGAAATGTGCCTGACACCAAGGCTGGAGCTCGTAACCACCACTTTGTTCTGTGGTACACTGATGTCTCTCTTCCTGGGAGTGGCACATCTCTAAGCTCTTCTTATGCCTGATGTTAGACCGTCTATCTTAGAGTCCTAGGTAATTGAGGATAGAGAAGAGCCAGGGCACATATGGCTTTCCTTGACCAGAACGAAACAAGGTTCTAGTGTATAGAGTTTGTGCCATAGACTGATAGGAAACCGTCTGTCAAAGATGAGGACCTTCTTTGTATTCACTTGTACAAAATATATTAAGCCCCTGTGGGATGCCAGGCACAGGGTCCTGGGAATACAATGAACCAGACGTATTCCTTAGCTGAGTGGAAGAGATAGACAGTCACTCAATTAAGTTATGTTGTGGTACGTTCGAAAAATCGTGAACTTTTATTTCAATTGATTACATATTTGTGTGTGGGTATTGGGCTGTTATTGTAAGTCTATTTTTTAATCGTGAGTCAAGGTCAAACATATTTGAAAACCACAATTCTAGGCTAGGGAATGCCTTGCCCTTTGGGAAGTTGTAGCCTTCGTCTTGGTGGCTGGGCCCCTTGGAGTCACCAATGGAAAAATAACAATATTTACCATAGGCTAGGCACTCCCCCAAGCGCTTTATATGCGTTATTGCATTTAATCTTCATAATAATCCTTTTCATTCATTCATTCATTGAATAAGTGTTTGTTGTTTTGTGACCCAGTCCCGATGTTCTAGGTACCTTAGGTTGTGCAGTGAGCACAACACAACATTTTTATACATGATTGAGAATAAGTGACTTTCTTAAGATCCATAGTAGTCTCTGTGCATCCAGAGCCCAGACTTTACCGTTCAAGAATTTACTAGCGTGTGAACAGTGCTGGTTGGTTGCCTTGGTTTCCTCTTGCTTATTGCCTTTCACATACGGGGCATGGGACTGTGGGTGAGCATTTGCTCTCTTCATGTGGTTTTATGGCAGCCCCGGAAAGGCCCCTTGGTCTTTACTTTCTTTAGCAACTGGGCTTATCATACAGTTTTGAGAGCCATGTAACTTCTTCAGCCTCTCCATCTTTAAGTCAATTCTTAATTTTTGAGCCACCCCTACCTCCAAGGCACCATCACTAATCTTAGACCAGTTGGTCTCGTTTGGAGGCAGTTTTGCGGGTTGGGACGTTTGGCAATATGTAGAGACATTATTGATTGTCACAACTTGGGGAAGGTAGAGCTGTGGTTTGCTCCTGTTGTCTAGTGGGCGGAGGCCAGGGATGCTGCTAAACATTCTACAATGTGGAGAGCAGCCCTTCACCACAAAGAATCACCTGGTCCAGAATGTCAGTGTGCCAAGGCCTTCCTCATGGTGTTGCCTAATACCAGACGTTTTCCCCCAGAGCTGCCCTCCTCAAGGTGCGAGACACAGTCAGCAGCCACGTGGAACACGTGCTTCAGATCTATGTGCAGCGTGCAGACGCGATTGGCATTGATGCCGCCCTGCAGGCCTCCGTTGTGAGCCCCTCTGTGGCCGACATGTTGGAATGGTTGCAGGATATTGAGAGACATTATCGACATTCGTATCCTTTGCACATGTTTCAGGTAGTGTTCAGAGTTGTTCCAGGAAGGCTTTTTAGTTTCAGTTTTCACAAGATTACAAAACTATATGGTGTGGGTCAGTTCTCTTTGATTCCTGATCTTGGATTCTTCCTGCATTCCTTCGTCCAGTCATTCCTCAAATCATTTATTGAGTGACTACCTTCCAGGTGTTGTTCCAGGTGCTGGGAGATAGGCATTCCAAAGGGAAAGTGTATGGAACGTCAAATGGTGATAAGTGCTATAGAGAAAAATAAAGTGGGGAAGGTGAGGGATGAGGCTGGGGTTGTGATTTTAAATAGGGTGCTCAGGGCAGGCCTCACTGAGAAAGTGACGTTTGAGAAAGGACCTGAAAAGGGCGAGGGAGGGAGGCATGTGGATATTTGGAGGAAGAGTGTTCCAGGCAGAAGAAACATCAAGTGCAAAGGCCCTGAGGTGGAGCATGCCCTAGGTTCAGGAAATAGCAAGAAGGCCAGTGGGTAGAGCAGGGTGAGGAGTGGGAGCCTAACGAGATGAGGTCAGAGAGATGGGGTGGGACCTCGTAGGGCCTCGAAGCTCTTTGAAAGGACTTTGGCTTTTACTCTGAGTGAGATGGAAAGCTGTTGGAAGGATTGTGGGTTTTTTTGTATTTTTTTTTTTTTTGTGAGGAAGATCAGCCCTGAGCTAACATCCATGCCAATCCTCCTCTTTTTGCTGAGGAAGACTGGCCCTGGGCTAACATCTGTGCCCATCTTCCTCCACTTTATATGGGACGCAGCCACAGCATGGCCTGACAAGCGGTGCATCAGTGCGTGCCCGGGATCCGAATCTGGGCTGCCAGCAGTGGAGCGCACGCACTTAACCGCTACGCCACGGGGCCGGCCCCTGTTGGAAGGTTTTAAGTAGAGGAATAACATAATCAAAACCACGTTTTTAACCGTATCACCCTGGCTGTGTTCTGAGGAAAGACTTGGGGTGGTGGGGGCAAGGATGGAGGCAGCAAGAGCAGTTGGTTGGAGTTCTCGCCTTTTTCTCTCCATTTTCGCCTGATACCCGCATCTACCCTCTGGCTTGTTTCTACTTCATTTGAGTAACTCCCAAATCCAACCTTTATTCTTGTCTCTAGTCCTGATTTTCAGTTTCCTGCAGCTGCCTCTAACTGGATTGCCCACAGAACTGCAAACTCAGATTTAACCTTGAGCTTCTCCATCTGGCCCTCACATTCCACTCCCTTTCCCTCAGTGGTAGGATCTTCCCTGTCTAGGCACCCAGTCTGGAAACTTAAGCAGCATCTTCCCCCTTTTCCTGTTTTCTCTTTTAATTGCAGCAGCAGCAGCGGTGGTGGTGGGTACAACAGTGTGCGCAGTCAGAGCAGGAGGTGCGCTAACGTTACTGAGCACTTATGTGCCAGCTGCTGTTCTAAGAATATTTGCACAGTCACTTGTCAGCTTCTTTGATTCTGTTTCTCTGGCGCTTCTTGTATTTTCTTCTCTATCCCCACTGCCTTTTCCGTAGTTTCTTACCTCTCACTCGGACCCGTGATCCCATGCAGCCTCTTGCCAGGCTTCTCTGCCTCTAGGTTCTTTCCCTCTGAGCCGTCCCAGCTGGTGACCTCACTCCGTAGGTCTTCAGGAGGTCTGGTGCTGAGCCTGTTACCTGTAGAGGAGTTTGCACTAGCTTCTGTTCCAGGAGGGTAGAGCGCAGAATCCCCACGCTGGTCTTCAGTGCTCTTTGTGTGCTGGCTCCGCCTGCCTCCTCAGCCAGCTTTCCTGCTACTCTGCACTGTCCCCTGCCAGCCAGAGTGGATGATGTACTTGTCTCTGAATCCTTCCATGCTTCCCGCTTCTGTACCTTTGCTTATGCTTTTCCTCTCAGCTGGAACCTTCGTGCTACCCTCCAGGCTGGATGTGTTCGTCCTCTGAACTTCCACTGAGTTTTATCTTTCAAGTCACTTAGATTCTTTCTTTTTAGTTTCTGGTTTTTTCCTCACCGTGGTGAGGTGGCAGGGCAGTGTTTCCTTCCTTGGTCCTGTCGCACAGAGCTGTGTGAGTACAGAGGTGCTCAGTAAAGATGTGTAGCACAGGCGGACCCTGCCCACTGGGTAACGCTAATGATAGCTGCATGTTCACAGCCCCCTAGAGCTCTCTCCAGGGTATTTTTTTGCTTCAATGTTTCATTTTCTTTTGGAGCAGTCCTTAACTTCCAGGAAGGTACCTGAAGAGGAAGTACCTCCTGTCCTCGATCCAGTGGGGGGACTTGGCAAACATCCAGGCTTTGCCCAAGGCCTGGGACCGAATTTCGGAAGATGAACACCAAGACCTTGTACGGGGTATGGTTTTTGTTTATTCCCTCATGTCTCCTCTCCTCCTTTGTTTCCCTTCTTGGGAAGCATTATAGAGATGCTCTCGCAGTACCTCTGAATCGGTTATAAATCTGATGTTTTGCGTTCTCGGGAGAGGTGGCATGCCACAGTTGTTCTCTTCCTGTTCCAGATGTCCTGTTGCATGTTTCCTTCTTCCTGGAAGAGTAAGGAAGCTGTGTGTTTATGTGTAGACGAAGGGGATGCAGTTGAAGACCGGCATTGCTGCAGTCTGGTATTTCTAAAGAAGTGTCAGTATTGCACCTGACATATTGGAAAAACCAATGGCTGGAGCCTAAGGACTGGCTCTTGGGAGGGTTGTGCTAGATGTTTCTGTTGGGGCTTCTCCTGGCCAGGTCATGGCTGAGGGTGCATGGACCACCCCTTGCCCTTTCCTAAGACTCGGGAGTGGAAGGAGGCAGGGAGAATGCAGGAAAGGCACTGCAGAAGAACACCTGGCGCGGAAGCAACAGCCACAGAGGTTGTAGACAAGGAAAGGACGGGGTAGAGAGTGGCACTCCTCGCCATCATCTGAGCCTGGTTGACACCAGGTCCTGGTTTCCTGTGTTTGTGTCAATACCTGAATCCTTGATGAAAGAGAAAGTGGCTTTGATGATTTAAAGAAATAAGGGTGATGGTGGTGGAAAACAGTAATGGTTTTCTGTTTGCAGTAACTCCTTATGGTCAGAAGATGTCAGTTTCCAGAGCCTACCACCAGGGGGCGGTGGTGCAGCATGAATTATTCTGAACGCCTTGTCTTTGAGGGTTTCCCTATTGCTCTTCCTGTCTGAGAGGCAGTAACTAGGTATAGTGGGACTCCTAAAATGACAAGGTTTTTTTGACCAAAGCTGGCAACTGACTTGCCACATTCCTCTCATCTTGGAGTAGCTGTCTGTGTGGGAGAGCACCAGCCCAGAGTTAGGCGATTAGGATTGCGTTTCTGAGGTCCAGCGCCTTCGTCTGGGAAATGGTCGTGGTACTTCCAGACCTGTCACCTTCCTGGGCTCTTGTGAGAATCTGGGTCATTAGATGTAAAGGGGCTTAATAAAGAGTATAGATGTTTTTCAAAATGAAAATGAGTTTTTCTTACTACCAAAGTGATATGTGGTTTTTAAAAAATCATAGGAAAATTGTAGAAAAAACTTAAAATGTAGAAAAATATAAAACAAACTCCACCAGAGATATTTTGATATGTATCCTTTTAGTGTCCATATTCACAAATTAAAAAATATATATATGGTATCATTCATACATAGTTATTTAAATTGTTTTTTTGTTTTTGTTTTTTTGTGAGGAAGATCAGCCCTGAGCTAACATCCGTGCTAATCCTCCCCTTTTTGCTGAGGAAGACCGGCTCTGAGCTAACATCCATTGCCAATCCTCCTCCTTTTTTTTTTTTCCCCCAAAGCCCCCCAGTAGATAGTTGTACGTCATAGTTGCACATCCTTCTAGTTGCTGTATGTGGGACGCGGCCTCAGCATGGCCGGAGAAGCGGTGAGTCGGTGCATGCCTGGGATCCGAACCCGGGCCGCCAGTAGCGGAGCGCACGCACTTAACCGCCAAGCCATGGGGCCGGCCCCTAAATTGTTTTTTTTAAAAAAAAAAGTAATATAGTTTGGCCATCTTTTCATATCTGTAAATGTAGCACAACACAATTGTATACCATTATATACCATTTTATGAATGTATTATATCTTACATTTTACACGTATTTTTCCAAATTTTCATGGTTTTTATACCTGTAAAGATAATACATTCTGATTGTGAAAAATTGGAAGTATTACAGAAAATGAAAATGCGCATTGTCCACCTACCAAATAACTGTTTTTAATAATATAGTGTATATTCTTCTAGGAATTTTAGAAATCTATTCTATCACATACATAATAATTGTAAATAAAACTTAAGACATTTGGGTATTATAATGGTCTTATGATGTGCTCTGGAGATAGAGATGAAAGAGAGCCCTAGAAAGGTTTTTCGTTCAACCAGGAAAAGATTTAAACTTTCCTCAATCCTCAGCATGCATATAAATCACTGGTATCTTGTTCAAGTTGAGACTCTGGTTCTGTGGGTCTGGGGTGGGGCCCTAGATGCTGCATTTCTAATGAGGTCCCAAGTGATGCTGATGATCCAAGGGCCAGACTTTGAGCTGAAGAGATTTAAATTGTAATACAATAATAAAAGTGTTGTATTTGAGGTAAAAACAGAATTCTGAGGGAGAATAGAAGTGATAAATAGCTGTTTGTAGGAGTCCTTCACGGTGACAGTGACATCTGAGTGAGGCCCTGAGGCTCCTTTTTCTTGGGCCAGGAGAGGAGTGCGGGGCATTCCCTGTGCGGGGCAGACGGGCCAAGCAGAGGCAGCGTCTGAGAAGGAACGGAAGCCGGCACACGCTGAAAACTTGCTGTGTGCCGGGCGTCGTGGTTGTGGCCGTTACCCCCAGAACTGGCAGCGATGACTAGTGCAGTACAGCAAGTCACTAGTTCATAGAGTGGTGGAAGAACGGCAGGAAAGGGGTCCCTGAGGGTGGACTGCGACGAGCTTGCGAAGAGCCTGGAAGGTCTGGCTCAAGAGGATGTATTTTGTTCTGTAGATGAGAGTTGCTTGTCTGTGTGTGTGTGTGTGTGTGTATGTATAATGAGCTGTTTAAACTTCACTCATGGAAACAAGTAATCGTGACTATAAATAGATACAAGTGTGTTTATGGTGCTAAGTAATAACTATTTATCATTTAAGTATAATTGTTTTTACTTTGTTCCTTCTTAGCTTCTGCTATTAAAATGCTATCCTTTTAATTGTTCTTTTAAAATTTCAAATAAATTTGGCTTATTTTTTGAATAAGTGATACATTCACATTGTACAAAATTCACTGTGGGCTGGACTCAACAGATTCACTTCTAATGAATAGAATACTGCAGAAGGGGCGGGATGCCACTTCTAAAACTAGGGTATGAACAAAGACTACAGCTTTTGTCTTGGATGCTCTCGCTTACTCTCTCGGTCACTCCGCCTGGGGAAAGGGAGCTGCGATGCTGTGAGGCAGCCCTGTGGAGAGTTCATGTGAGAGGCTGATGCCTGTCAACAATCACAGCGAGCAAGCTTGGGAGCAGAGCCTCTCTCCCCCAGTTGAGCCTTTGGATGAGACTACAGCCCCAGCCAACAGCTTGACTACAGCCTCGTGAGGACCTGAGCCAAAGGCAGCCAGCTAAGCTGTGCCCGGATTCCTGACCCATGTAAACTGAGATAATAAATATTTGTTCCAACTCATTAAGTTTTGGGGTAATTTGTTCCACAGCGATAGATACCTACTACAACAAGCAAATATGTTTTTGTGTTTTCTCTCTAATTTTATATGAATAGTTGTTGCATACTATGTACCCAGTTTTGTACCTTGTTTTTTCTACTTTCTGTATCTTGGAGATCATTCTATATGAATACATAAAGAGCCTTCTTAATTATTTCTAAAACAGTTGCATAGTTTTTTGTTGTGTGGGTATACTGTGATTTATTTCACTAGCCCTTTCCTGATGGAAAGTTAGGTTGTTTCCAGTGTCTTCAGATCTGTTAGGTTTCAGCAGCCCTCCTCTACTCTCACCCTGCTCATTAGGCTTTTTTCCCCTGGAGTTTTCCAATTAGCTAATCCCACCCCACCCATTCACCCCCAATAAAAGAATTCTGTTGGTATTTTCACTGGGATCATATTAAACTTATAAACTAATTTAGGGAGAGTCATCATAGTGGGAATACTTCCGCTGTTCCCCGTTGAAGCCTGCCACTGGCTTACAGGTTGAGATATCATGTGAGTTCTTCCTGTTTCCCTCAGTTGGGGGGTAGACTCTTAGTGGTCAGAACCCTGTTGGTGAGACAGTCTGTTGGGACAAAATGAAGAATTTGGGTTTTTTTCCTGTCCCTACCCCACCCACATTTAGAAACTGACCTCAAGATTCTTCTCTCAGGCAGAGTAGGGGCTTTTCAAAGCCAGTGGGATCCTAGGCTCTGAAGAGAAGGACTTCTCCCTGCCCAGGGGGAGTCCAGGTGGATGGTGACTGTATCGTGTCTGACTTTAGTCAGGATGAGAGGGGCCAGGGACCACCTTCAACCTGTGCAAGCATTGGGGTGTTTATGATTCCTTCTCGCCGTGAGGAGGTAGGGAGAGGGAGAGTGCACACTTGGAGGAGCAGGTTCAGGGATGAAGGAAAGGAGCTAGTGTGTTGATGATTAGCTCAGGAAAAGCTTGCTGAGTTGCAGGCAAGGCAGACCAGGGTTCAAGTCTCTTACTAGCTGAGTGGTCTTCGGTAAGTCATTTCCCCTCTTAAGTTTCAGTTTCTTCATCTGTACAGTGGAGATGATATCCTTACAGGGTTGTAAGGTTTAAGTGAGAAGATAAGTGAGGGCTTTTGGTAAATTTATAAACATTTAAGGGGTTGAAATTCCTTTGAGGTTTATTAGTCACCTACTAAGTGCACAGCTCTGTGCTGTGCTAACATCTGCCCTAACCCTTAACAAGAATTGAGACAAGGATGCTCCCCTCCATTAGCAGATGAGAAACTGAGACGCAGAGAGACAGCTTTCTAAGCGCCCACAGCTTGTCAGTGGTGTTGCCAGAACTTGCACCGGCCTTTTCTTGATTCTGGCGAAAGGGGTCTTTCCCCTACACCACTGTTTCCTTTCTGCCACAGAAGCTGAAAGCATCCCTAACACCTACGCAGCTGTGACAAGAGTTGGGTTTCCTGCATACCCAACCCTGCATGGGACATGATTCCTGCAAACGCAGAGGTGAGTGCAGTACTGCCCCCATCTGGCTTGGGAGTGGCACATGAGGCATCTTCTCAGGGTAGCTGCAGCCTTGCCAGTTACCCTCTGATCCCATAGCTGGGAGGGCTGGAGTGAGCCCGGGGGCAGTCTGCCAGTCTTACACTTTTGCCCTTTATGCCAGGTGCTGGGAGGAGAAGCCAGTGCTTCTTAAGGAATGACAGGGGGTGCCCCTCCAGGCACTCTCCCTCCTCCCCATCATTCCTGGAAGGCTCCTTCTTGGTTTCTACAGAGTGCAAAGCAAAGTCATTTTTTCTGAGGCTGGTACCTGGTACAGCATATTAGGGTCCCAGCCCCAGAGATTCTGATCCAGCATGTGTGAGGAGGGGCTAGGTATCTTCATCCTTATCAAGTACCCCCCAATTCCGTTGCAGGGTCATTCTTTAAGAAATAGCCTTAATCCTGAGAAAAAGCAACAGCAGAGCGAGAGAGAGCTGGGTAGAGTAGCCACAAAGATTGCCCTTCTCTGGGGAAGAAACTAGCCTGATTTTACCTTCCTCTTCCCTTGTTGCTTCTCAGCACCTAGCTAGTCCTCAATTCCAACAGGCACTTCAGCTCTATTCCCCCAACCCCTCCATGCTGTTTGGAGAGGGGTAGTAATAAGTTGTGTATATAGCACCTTACAGTCTGCCACATCCATATTCATTTGGTCAGAGGCCTCCCTGTGTGCCCAGCACAGGACTAATTACTGGGATACAAAGATAAATAAGAGAAGTACAGTTTAGTAAGCCAGGCAGACACGTAAGCCCATTGTGAGAAGTGCCGTCATAAATGATGTGCAGCGAATGCGGTGGATGGAGAGCGACTGATTTCTTTTTGTGGGTTTTTGTGAGAGGCAAGAAAGGGGAATGTCAGAGTAGATCCCGGGCAACTTCATTTCAGCGAGACTCTTCCCTCTGGTCTCAATGGAGTAAGCGGTGGGGGAGGGGGTCAGCCTGGCCCGTTGGCCGTCATGTGAGCAGGGAGCAACCCCCCGCGCTCTGGCTCTTCTCTGCCCGATTCAGACGTGCGCAGTAGTTCCTACTTTGCACAGAGAGCCCAGACTAATAAATCCACTACTCAATTGCAATCCCCACAGTGCCTTTATAGGCAGCAGCTGACTTTTATCAGCTAGTTTGTTCTTTCATATAAGCAGAGTTTTATGAGGGTCTCCTGAGCTGGCTCATAACGTGATGAAACGTCTGCAAAACTTAGCCATAAATCCTCGGCACCTGCCAAGCAGAGGATGCTGTTTTCCAGGCACATTTTGTCCAGC